ACCAAACTGCACATCACACATGATTCATAACGAGGACCGCCGACAATCCAGTGAGTCTTTCTGTTTTTACAGTTTCTGGCTCTGATCATTTCTTCTTAAAAATAAAACAGGTCTTTTAAACTTTTTCCGTTCATTTGCCGTCAGTACATATCGGTTGGAAAAAACAAAAAATGTTGATGTCGTTGAATATCTTCAACTGTTGTGACCCCTAGAAATCTGGACAGATGTCGTCTCTTCTGTGTCTTAGATCGTTCTGAACTTCACCTCCATGGACCTCTTCAGGAGTCACTTGTGCTGGTACGACCACGTGGAGGTCCGAGACGGGTTCTGGAGAAAAGCTCCTCTCAAAGGTCTGCCTGAAGCCTGTGCTGTAAACTCCCTACCAGGAACTTTTGAAGCACTCACTGACAGGCGCTGTTGTTGTTGTTTCGTAATGTACTTTGGCAGGCCGGTTCTGTGGAGATACACTTCCAGATCCAATTATCTCAACTGACAGTCGACTGTGGATTGAATTCAGGAGCAGCAGCAGCTGGGTGGGCAAAGGCTTCTCTGCTGTTTACGAAGGTACGACGCCGACTTTTGTTTTGGTGCACGCTCGCTTTAGGTGATGCTTCGTATCTCGTCCGCTTCATTTCGCTCGTCGTAAAGTCGACAGCTGAAGGCGGGAATGCAGAAAGCGAGCCTGTGAATGAAATAAACCGCCATTAATCTCACTTCTCACCTCCTGTGCAGCCATCTGCGGGGGAGACGTGGAGCGGGAAAGCGGCCAGATTCAGTCCCCCAATTATCCCGATGACTACCAGTCCAACAAAGTGTGTGTGTGGAAAATCACAGTGGCAGAAGGTTTTGATGTCGGCCTCTCCTTTCAGTCGTTTGAGGTAAAAGATCAACTATACTGTTATGAGTTACACAGCACGGCAACGTGAGTAGAAAAAGCAAAGGGTGGAGGGTTGTTCCAGCGCTGAATACTGCATTTGATTGGTATGTAATTGCTCCAAAAATTTGTTCTCAGAAGTAATGAAAAAAATATGCAGCAGTGAATGTCCAATCTGCCCCAAAAGCTTTAAAAAAAAGGGTTTCATTTCACCAGATGCCATAGTTATTTTGTGGAAAGCACATCTATTTTCCTTTTTGGTTCAATGCATTCGTGTGCTGTGATGATTTAACAGGTTGGTTCATTAAACTAAATAGTTGCTGTAGCTGTGCCTGAAGCTTCTATGTAACCTGAGTGGCAACAAAACCAACAAATAAATGCTGCTACCTTTCAATCAATAATGTTGTGGAGGGCAGGAGGATGTCTGTTAACGCATCACAGACTGATCAAACTTCACCAACATCTGCCGTCTGTAATACCTGTTAGCAGAACTCACCACCTTTGCTTTGACTCCAGATCGAGAGACATGACAGCTGTGCCTACGACTACGTAGAGGTGAGGGACGGCAGCTCAGAAAGCAGCCCGCTGCTCGGTCGCTTCTGCGGCTACGACAAACCGGACGACATCAAAAGCAGCTCCAACCGGCTCTGGCTCAAGTTTGCGTCCGATGGATCGGTCAACAAAGCCGGGTTTTCAGCCAACTTTTTCAAAGGTCAGAAAGTCGTTTCAAAACTAGCGACAATTATTATTATTATTTTTTCCGCTTGCGGAAAGTGATGCATCTGCTGGCGCAGGAAACCAGTAATTCAGATTTCTCTTTTGTTTAGAGATGGACGAGTGCTCCAGACCTGATAATGGTCATTGCGAGCAGCGTTGTCTGAACACGCTGGGCAGCTACAGATGTGCCTGTGACCCTGGATATGAGCTGGCAGCTGACAGACGCAGCTGTGAGAGTGAGTGTAGAGCCTCGCACAAACTCGTTACCGCCGTTAGAGTGCTGCTGCTGCTGCTGCTGCTGCTGCTGCTGCTTTAGAATATGAAGTGAAGCCCGTGAGCTTGTTGAGCTGTTCAGCTGGAGTCTGCCACTACACTCATGTGGCCTTCTCTTCTCACTGCAGCGGTTACAGTACCTATAAAAACCCCTGTTGGAGGTTTTCCATTTTTATTGCTTTTAAATAATAATAATTTACAAAAGTTATTTCATGCCACTGTGAAAACAGAAAGTAATGTGGATTAATTCAAAATATAGGACATAAAATAAGTGATTTCACCCTAATTCAACAGAAAATTGATGCTAGAAGCCACACAATTATGAAAAATAGAAATCATCTATGTGCCGTGAATGTGTCTCTAGAGATTGTAGTATAAAGACACCTGCATGTGGAAGGTAAATCAGAACCCCTGGATACAACCACACCATGAAGACTTAGAACCCCCCAAGAATCTCTGTGGAAAGTTTCTTTTTTTTTTTTTAAAGATGAATACAAGAAAAAATCCAAGTCACTGAGAATCTCTTGGAGTGAAGTTACATCCATCATTAGAAATTGGAAGGAATATGGCACATGTGTAAAGGCCACCAAGACACCTATGAGTCCCCTGAAGGAGTTACAAGATGGGAAAGACTGTACATACACCAGCTGGTGGTTCTTCACCGACCAAAGCTTTATAGGAGAACGGCGAAGAGAATGAATGAATGAAAAATGAATGAAAAATACTTTATTTATAGCAGAAGGGAAATTCAGTAAAAAAAAAAAAATTAAAAAAGAGAAAGTCAAAAAGAAAGCCACTGCTGAAAAATCACAGATTAAATCTAGAGTTTACCAGATGACATGTGGGAGACTGATGAGGCCAAAACGGAGCTTCTTGGACACCAAACTAGACAGTATGTTTGGCAAACACCAATCACTGCACATCATCACAAACATCCCCACAATGAAGCACGGTGGTGGCAGCATCATGATGTGGGGATGCTTTTCAAAAGAAGGCTTGTAAAGGTGGATGAAAAAATGAATGCAGCAAAGTAAAGGGAAGTCCTAGATGCAAAAGAACTGTGATTTGGGATAAGATTTGTTTTCCATCAAGACAGTGAGTGGAAGCATACAGCTCAGGCTTAATAGAAATGGTGTAAAGACAACAAAGTGAATGTTCTGGAGAGGCTGAATCACAGCCCTGACTCCAATCCAATTGAACATTTGTGGCTGGACTTGAGAGAAGCTGTTCACTCATCACTGTGTAACCCGACAGAGCTTGGGCAGTTTTGTAAAGAAGAATGAGGTAAAAATGAAAACCTCCAGATTTTAATTTAGTGACATTATTTGGAAAAATTTGTTCTTTCTTTTTTTTATTGTTTGAACAATCCAGGCTTTAAGGCGTTAGTCAAGACATGCTATTGTCTTTTGCCACTAGAGGGCAGTGTTCTCCTGCTACAACTTGTCAATGAGGCGAGAGGCAACTTGATTCATGTGCACGGAAATTCATTTTACAAGTAGAATTTGATGCATTTTGCGATTTCATTATTCACTTTCTGGATGCGGTCACTGTTTAATCCCAGCACCACAGTTTCATCTCACACTGATTTTATTTCTTGGCATTATTTTAATCAGTAATGGACAACCTGTGAATAAAAAGACGATCTCTTCCCACAGATTTAACAGATTTACATGCAGCTCTTGTAGTTTATGCTCTCATGGTGTTTTTTTTCTCACCTATATCACTAAAATCTGTTTTCTCCCACCAGCAGCTGCCTGCGGCGGATTCATCACCAACTTGAACGGTTCCCTCACAACCCCCGGCTGGCCCAAAGAATATCCACCCAACAAGAACTGTGTGTGGCAGCTGGTGGCCCCGATCCAGTATCGCATCACGCTGGTGTTTGATGTGTTCGAAACTGAAGGGAACGATGTAGGTTTTAGTGCGTATACATGGGTAGAATCGCTGTATGTCTGCAGAGGTTTTCTCTTTGCTGAAATCTGAACACGTCTTCTGTACATCAGGTGTGTAAGTACGATTATGTGGAGGTGCGCAGTGGCTTGAGTTCAGACTCAAAGCTTCATGGGAAGTTCTGTGGAGCAGAGAAACCCGAGGTCATCACCTCCCAGGAGAACAACATGAGGATTGAGTTCAAGTCTGACAACACCGTCTCCAAGAGAGGCTTCAAGGCCCACTTCTTTTCTGGTAAGCAATGCTGTACTGAGGAAATATTGATAAAGGAACGACTGAGGAAGTATGATGTAATGGAGCCGATCCCTGAACAACAATGAGAGCAGCTGTCTTCAGTTCCTGCCACCAGAATGAGGCCAGTGTAGTCTGTGTGAAGCACAGATTGAACTTCATACAGCCTGATGGTGTTTTCCTTTAATTTTTTAAACAATATTTTAATCATGATTCTTTTTCTCTATTGTCTTTATACTAACTGCCCACTCCAGTGTTTGTATTTCTTAATAAATCAGCAGTAATACCTCAACTAGGTCACAAATAAATATCCATCCATCCATTATCTATATACCGCTTAATCCTCACTAGGGTCGCGGGGGGACTGGAGCCTATCCCAGCCGACAAATAAATATGCTCAGGTTTATTTCTAATCCAGTGAAATTACCACAGGTTTGCTGTTTTGTAATCTAAAATTGCTCAGACCCATTTGTTTACTTATCTTTAATTTTTCCTGAACCAGAAAAGAGTTTTAAACAAAATGCAGTTCCATTTCCCACATTAAACGATCAGAAAGTTGCAGGGTGAAGAAAATTTCCACATGAGAACCTCATTTGCAACTTATTTTGACATTAAAAGTTGACTACTGCAAGTTGTCCTCATGTCCGTTTGACATCTTTTTCACTCCATTTTGGCCTTTTCATCCCCACTGAAGCTGTGCTTTTAAAGAGCACGTTTTGGGTTTTTCCATTTCCTTTAATGTGTTATGAAGCCTTTTATACATGCTAAAGGGTCTGTTAACCTACAAAAGCCAAAGTCCAATCCAACGGGGCTTTCACCCACAGAAACACTGTCACATACCTGCCTTCAAAAAACGTTTAAATCTAGACTTTCTTTACTTATTTACATCACCATGTAACACATTTACCCAACACCTGCCAGGCATCAAACTTCTGCTAGGGTTACATCTCTCTGCCTGAACTCATAGATCTGGGAGTGACAAAAATGCCTCGCTTTCATCGGGCCACATGACCAATCAGAGAAAAATTGGCTTTTCAGGATGGGGAATGAAAAAGAATGATACAGCATGAAAAAATAATGTGTTTTTTTTATTATGGTAGACTCCAAAATTAAAATTCTGAACCTTTAAATGTGTGTGATGTGGGCTCTTTAAACTCAGAATGTGAAACAGTGATTTTCTCAAACCCCGTGTTTCAAGCACTGTGACAAACAATACAGGTCTGGGCCTTAAATGTTAATAAGTTCTGCCGGTTTTCTGTGACCCACAGTGTTACCAGGTGCAAGGAATCTGAATTAACATTCTTGAACCATCTCAACAGATATAGACGAGTGCTCCAAAGGTAACGGCGGCTGCCAGCATGAGTGCGTGAACACCTTCGGAAGCTACAGCTGTCAGTGCCGCAGCGGCTTCATGCTGCACGATAATAGACACGACTGCAAGGAAGGTACGGCGTTTTCACTGCTGTCCTGTCATCGGTGTGATTCGATAAGGCGATTTTAAGAGTCACACCTGCAGATCTTTGTGGTTTTAGTTGTTGAGATTTACTCTCTACTGGTGCTTTCCACAGAAGAAAACATGAAAGCTGTGTTGTTTGAGTTATCAGAGCCTTCACCAGCTACCGTGCTGTAAATGTACAGGCCAAACAATGCCTATGACCTATTTTTTAATAACCCCCGTGGAAAAAAATGTTTGCGTGTGGAAAGATTTACTTTTGCTTTCGCTTGTCTTTCCTTTAATGAATGCATGATCAAAGAAAAAATACCCCAGAGGAAGCTCGTGCTGCGGAAGAGGAAATGATGTGATGCAGCTTTTCTTGTTTTCTCCTGATAATGCTGTTTTTGTTTTTCTCCAGCGGGCTGCGATCATGTCGTAACCAGCGTCTCAGGTACCATCAGCAGCCCGAACTGGCCCGACAAATACCCCAGCAAGAAGGCCTGCACCTGGTCTCTGTCCACAACCCCGGGGCATCGCATCAAACTTGTATGTTATGACCCAAAATGAAAGCTGTAAAAAGCAGTTTCTTGTAGGATCTCATTTAATGTCACTCTCAATGACTTGCAGGTTTTTAATGAGGTCGACATGGAGGCTCATCTGGAGTGCGCTTACGACCATCTGGAGATCTACGATGGGAAAGACCTTCGTGCACCGAGTCTGGGGCGATTTTGTGGCACCAAAAAGCCTTCTCCCGTCGTCTCCAGCGGCAACAAAATGTTCCTACGCTTTTTCTCAGACAACTCAGTGCAGAAACGAGGGTTTGAGGCTTCATACAGAGCAGGTGGGCGAAGAAAGTTACTCATCTGCTCCCAAAAAACAGCCTGGAAATAGAGTAAATTTGTGTTTTGGAGCGAGAATAGAATACCAAAAAATGTGACATTTCAAGAATGGGGTTTGCTTTGTGTTGTGTTTATAAAGCTGCATTCTTTCCTCACTTTTACGAGTTCCTCCTTTTGACCCTCTAATTTTGTGGTTGTAAATTCCCAGAATGCGGAGGAAGCCTTAAAGCCGAGGTCAAGACAAAAGATCTGTACTCTCATGCACAGTTCGGAGATAACAACTACCCTGGAGGCTCCGACTGCATGTGGGTGGTCACTGCTGAGAAGGGTTACGGAGTCGAGATCATCTTCCAAGTGTTTGAGATCGAGGAGGAGGCCGACTGCGGCTACGATTACGTGGAGCTGTATGACGGCGCTGACGTCAAGTCTCCCAGGCTGGGACGCTATTGTGGATCCGGGGTAGGTCTTGTGCAGTAAACATTGCTTTAATGAAATGACTCTTACAAGGGGAGAAAGAAAGCCCAACCTTTTTGTCTGTATCTTCTTCTCCTCAGGCTCCAGAGGAGGTTTACTCAGCTGGAGACGCCATCGTTTTGAAATTTCACTCAGATGACAGCATCAATAAAAAAGGCTTTCATGTGCGCTACACCAGCACCAAGTTCCAGGACACGTTGCACGCCAGCAAGTGACTCTCTAAATCTTCCCCCAAACCTAAATGGAGACTTCACCCCTACTATTTGGTCGGTCACACCCATTTCCAGGCGAGGAGTGAATGCATGGCTCGATACCGCAAACACCAACCCACATACTTTACATTGAAATCTGTGAGACGGAGTGAAGCCGTGCAGAGAAGTCGCGTCTTCACTCCTCATCGTTATGTAGCTGTTTAGAGTTAAAGGACTAGTTATCTTCAGTCTGCCCTGTAACGAGCTGATTGCATCATAGCACTGAGTTATAAAATGTATATATTGTGATATAGTTTGCCTTGTTTTTTTTTAAATCATAATATCCACTGTGTCACTTTTTTTTTGCTGTCTGAGGTTGAACGTGTGATCACTTCTAATGAATGTAATGCAGTTTGATGTATTATATCACTTAATAAATGCACATGGTAATTGTGGACAACAACAAAATTCGACAGTATCTTGTTCCTGGAAGCATAACAAGTGTGTTATTAATGTTGAAGGCTCACTACACTTTTCTGAATTTGCCTTCACAAGTCTGCTGTTGGGAAGCATCCACACATAATGATGCTGCCACCGCTGTGCTTCATGGTGAGAATGGTGTGTTCAGTGCTTGGTGTCCGCCACAACAGCCACAACATTAAAACGATTCCTACTTGTGCCTTCAAAACAGCTCTGACCTGCTCTGACATGGACATGTGGTGTCTGGCACTGGCAGCAATCGATTGGGCTTGTGAGTTTGGTGGCTTGGTAAATGCGTTGGGCTCTTTGTCGTGTTCCTCGAACCATTCCTGAAAAGTTTTTGGAGTCAGTTTGCTCTGTTGCCTTGGTGGGGTGTGTTTGGTCACATCCACATGAATTTATTACCCAAGATTTCCCAGCAGAGCATTGCAGTTTAGCGAGATTCACTTAACCTGTCAGTGGTTTTAATGTTATGGCTTGTCTGTTTACACTCAGAGATCATGGATCCACCAAAAGCTTTCTCTCCACATGTCTGTTGAGTTATTTATTAAGTGAGTGTGTCCGTTGAAAGCCTCTCTGACCAGCAGCAGCTCACGACACTTGTCTCTACGTGGGTTCAGTGTTTACATGCATCTCCAAAGCAACATTCCAGCTTCGCTCAGTGAAACTCACAGAGCACACGTTTTCAAGTCTGAAGCATCGACTACGTACATTTGTTTATCTTCCTCCCTGCCTTTTTTGGTGCTTTTGCCAAGTTTCCACCAGCTGTTAATACACGAAACTGGAAGCAGGAATGTCAGCGTCGGCTGCTCACTTGCACTTGTGCACATGATGCAAACATAACAGTGACCCACTTGTGAAAACATTGCTCTACAGCGCTACAAGTGGTGAAAGGGAGTAAATGAATAAACTTCACAATAGTAATTAAAGCCGCAAGCGGCGATGGACGGGTCCTCGCCCTA